CTCAAACTGAGTTATTAAATATGAAGCTGATTTAGATCTAAGAAGCAATATTTGGCACTATTATACCAAAGTCCAAGGAATCCATTAAATTATTAAGAAAGCCCATTGTGCTTTAATATTTGAGACTTTATCAACAACTGTGAAATGCTGAACGTTAAAAGAAAGTAGTTTGGACGTTGAACAGGAAATGAAAATATCCCACACAGTGTCTGTAGCCAGTTGGTGGAGGCTTTTTCTGGGCTCTCCCACGCACATGGCTTTAAAACATTCACATGTGCAAAGGTTTTTCCTTTGTACACTGTAAATACCAAAGGAAAACGGCTGCTCGCATCAGTGCTTTACCGAGACGCTTCAACCTTCTGCAGTCTCGGTGCTGTCGTTTTTGTGACCAGCGATGACACTGAGAACCTCGTGGTCATTTTAGGGATCTTGTTTGAGGTTCTACAGCACATTTAGTCTAATTTAGTCTGATGACTCAGACACGGATAGCTGCGCGCACCCCAGTCCTCCAGCAAATGTCTTACTGTGTCAGGTCAGCAGGGAGAAAAGCTTTTGATTGTGACTGTGTCAAACTCACAGACTGCAAATTATTATGGAAGCTCAGAGGAGAGCAATACCGCCACCTGTTGGTTATGTTGGGCTCTTGGACAGAAATGACCATCAATGTTATTTAATGCATTTAACGTGAATCTGAAGGTGTTTTGCACACTTACAAATACATCCGGGTAAGACTCTATTATCTGTGCAGAGTCTGAATGCTCTCTCTGCGGCTGTGTCGATTCTGTCCGAGTACTCTGACTTCCCCCCACAGTCCAAAGACATGCAGTTAATGGGGTTAGCTTAACTGGTGATTCTGGTGTGCTGCGAGTGTGAACGGTTGTTTGTCTCTTTGTGTTAACCCTGAGACATAGTGGTGACCTGTCCAGGGTGTACCTTGCCTATAGGGATAGGATAGTGGAGCCACTTGGATAAGTGGAAGAGAATGAATGGATGACGACTAACTTAAAAGGACCTTGTTATCTCATTAGAGACAGTTTTCAAATGTCTCTCTTATAGAGTACTGTATTTATAAATCTTTCAACAGTGTTAAGGTGAGCCAAGTAGTTTGCTACTCTGGGTAAACTCACCCAGCCAATCAGACCCGGTCTGAGCTCGCAGAAATATTTCAGGTCAAAATCTCCAATCCGGGGGTTTAGCTCCCGCCCGATGAAGAAGTCATAGAGTGGGTTTCCTAAATCATATCAAAGAGAAAATCACAAAAATCAAATGCTATAATTACATGCTGACATAAAGGTAGCAGAGTAGCAAGTACAGGAGCGCTATCTCACTTAACAGTTTGCCTCATGCATAATGCCTACAAGCTCCTGTTGAGCGTGGCAGTTAGATAATTACCCACAGGAACACCCAAATCCTCCAGCAAACAATACAACAAGCCTGTGGACGCACTGAATGCTGCCAGCTGCCGGGTTCAAACCGTGTTTTAGCATGGATTCAACCTTTATTAATGATCCTCAACATCTCACCTGTGTTTCCCCCCAAAGCAAGCGCATGGGAAGGAGCCCAGAAGGAGCGGATGTAGAGGTAGATGGAGAACAGGAACGACACTGCTATTGCACATACTGCCAAAGGCAACAGCAGCTCAAACAGATACCCCAGAGGAGCCCCGAGCCCCAGTAACAACATCAGGAACACACCGCTGATGCACAGGCCATGAAAACCTGAGGGAGGGAAACAAACAACACAAAATGTTGTCGCCTGGAGGAGCGAGATAAGCAGGCTGACAGAGGCTTGCATGGAGAAAAAGGTAAAAGTTGGAAGAGCTGAGTATTATGTAACTTCAACTTTTAGATCAGACCTGTGGATTTTAGATTTTCTTTTCTTTTTTTTTTCAAATATACTACAGTCAGCAACACAACTGTGAACAACACATTTGCAGTCAAAACATGTATAATACTAAAGAATAGCTGTGAAACATTGCAGATAGTGCAGCAGGATTACAAATTATTTCACACTTAGGTTTAATATTTAAATCTGTTTCTTGAAGGCGCACAGATTCTGTCCTAAACAGAAATGCTTGTAGTTATATCGCGCCCTGCTCAACGATACCATTTATGGGATACTTGAGGCGTGTTCCATCTCTGAGCACCAGCCCCTCAGACACCTGCAGGCAGTAAGCAGAATACAACACAAATCATATGCTGCATACCTATTACAGTGTCATAAGGTCAATAATTCAACCCATTCTTTCTCATTTCTCATTTCTTCATAATTGTGCAGCTTAGAAAGTTCTTCTGTAAAAATGCTGGACTCTATAGGCAGAGAGCGCCTATAGCCACAGATGAACTGTATTATACAGGTTGCTGTATTTTATAAACTTCTCAGTATGTAGCAAAGGAGAAGTGTTGAGGCGTGTAGCTCTGAAAGAACTCTAATTGCAGAGTACAGTCATTTAACCAAGAGGATGATCACACCGACTGGAACTTAACAGACAATAATTATCTTCTGATTTATTAGTATTAATTATTACACACAGCATGTTATAAAGCTATGTTTACAGCTTCATTATACACATAAGCTAGATCACAAACCCACAGCAGATTTCACTGTAAGTTTCACATTGAATTGGGCTGATGTACCTTTCCTAATGGCATCAAATAGATGACTGCATGCAAAGCAAACCACCCAAGAAGAAGCACGGGGGCCAGCGGGTCCCACAGCTGGTCAGCTGAGGGGAGGGGGGGCGGCCATTGGAACAAACTGGCCTCAGGAGATCGGCTCAAACAGATCAGGAACAGCACTGTTAACGGAAGAAAGATGGGAATGCACACGGCACCTGAAAGATGAATACAATTAAAGAATCAGACAAAAGTATGATGACAGGTTAGGTGCATCATAAGACAGCATGGCTGAGACAACATGTAAAGAAGTGAAACAGCATCTGTGGAGATTTGGCATTGCAGCACATTAATAATGCATATGCAGGTAAACTGTGATAACTCTAATAACTGCAGAGTAGCAAAACAATTCAGTCAGCTGACTGTAAACATCAGTAGTGACGGATGTGAAATCTGTAGTTAGCTTAACTGGAAAAGCACGACATGAAGCATCAAGCACATTTCACTTCAGCAATGATGAATCTGACATAGGAGGCTGCCTTGATTCTTGATTAGAGGTGTAATGACGGAGATGATGCTGTGATGCCAGCGATCATTACTACAGTGCAACATCCTACATCCTATTAGTTTTACTGAGGCATCAATCTTATGGTCCACCAAACAAACTGCTCAATTTAATAAAACAACACATCTCTAGGCAGTGTCAGCATCATAAATAGCGCATTAGTGTAAACGTTCTTTTGTATGTCAGCTAAAATGATCACCACCGCTTATTTCTTCCTTTTATAAAATCAGGATTCTCTTAGCTTCTATCTAATTTGTATATAACAACAGCATTTAGCTGCAGGGAAATGCAAGTAATGTGATAGCACTGCATTTGCAGACAGCAGCTTGAGCTTCAGAATGCATGAATGAATCAAAGGAAAGAAAAGTTGCTGTTGTTTTTCTAGTTTAGTGCAGCAGTGGCACCTGCTGCATCAATGCCCAGCACTGTGATCATGGCAACGTGACATCAAACTAAATCGAAGATGTCTACTAGCGCAACATTAAGACACACTGCTGTGACTTACCCAGGGTTCCTCCAAATTCCCTCTCTGAGTCATGTGACAGTTTGTGTTTGAGTGCTTGACTGTTTGGTCTCATTATTGTGCTCCTGTTTAAAAAGAAGACAACATATACAATAGGTTAAAAGGTTGTAAGAATGACAACACAAACCCCTCAGAGACTGTATTATTATTAAGATCTTGAAGCTTGAACTTTTTCCCTTGAGTATTTCCATTTTATTGGGCACTTTTTACCAACTACCAGCAATCAGTAATGATTATCTAAAACCGGAGATTCAAAGAGCATACACACTGCAATGCACTTATAACTGATTTAATAAACCCTGTAAACCCACAGAGGCCCTCCTCAGGTTAGACAAACTGAGATTTCCACCAGACTGTACCAACAAGACTGTCAGCGTTTGAACTCTTTCTGTAACAAAGCTGTCAGGAAAGTGAAGTTGACTTCAAAGGCATCTCTCCTCTTTCAGTAAAATCTAAAGCTGAGGGCTTCCGCTTGCAGTAGAGTATTTTTTAAATGATTCTATTTGTACTTTTACCAGAGTAGATCCAAGTACTTCTTCTACAGGTGCATACTTTTCAGACTATATTTGATGTAAACCCCTCACACTGAATGGCGAGGCCACAATAATGATGCATTCAAATACTCAAAGGGAATTCTAGATGTGGGCTAATAATCAAACTTGACCAAAAGCAAGAGAATGGTCAACGAGACGATTAAGAGTCATCAGAAAGTCATTATGGTTCGATTTAAAAACCTTTTTCTTATAAAATTTTAAATTGCTGCTTATTTCTGCACACCCGTGCTGGACTGTTGCGATGGGTGCCATAAATAAATAAGGCAAAGTTCAGGTCAAGCTGCTGTCAGTTCCTGAGCAGTTCTGCTGTGGACAGTGAAACACGGGTCGGACCAGTTACCTGTGAACGAACTGAAGGCTTTCCGCAAACACGAAGAGTGCAAATCTGTAGTCCTGTTTAGCTTCTTACCGGTTACTGCAAGATGGGATGTTTGCATCAAGGCAGCTCGTGAGCGTCCATCCAGCAACCTGCACACGGACACGCCCCCACCTACGTTACTGCAGCACGAAATCCTCCCCGCGCCAATCAGGAGTCTCCGCGGTCATCAGAAGAGGGTGGGAGAAAAAGGCTTAGCCAATCAAATGCGATCGTCAGGTGGCGACAGTCAGCTGTACCCTCCAGATAGTAGAAAATGTTGTGAAATTCGCCTCAGTCACTCTCATGCTCACAAGTTTAGATCAGTGCAGAGCGCAGTGCTATATCTACAAGCTGATTTCAACAGGGACAGCACAACCTCTGAATCCCACAGTCATACCCTTTTATTGCAGACAAGCTACATTTAAACATTCCTTACATGGAAACAAGCCCAGAAAACAGACTCAAACGACCTGAAGGTAGCAGGTAGACACACATGGATTACATAATCAGAAAATTATTATTCAGCAAAGCACTCTTAAAAATTATTTATTAATACATGTGATTTTCACAGGACACAGCTTCTCTCTGTAGTCATTAATATTATGTACTCAAGGTCAATATTTTATCCTTCAAGTGAAACAGGTGCTAAAAGCTTCAGCTTGTACAGTGGATTATTCAACTCTATCTTTGTATAAGGAGGAGATGGAGATGATTTTGTTAGTTTGTAACAGTTACGATATCAAACCAAAGTGGTACAGGCTCATTTGGACTTTAATGACAAGCACTTCGATTTAAATCTGCCACAAATTTGCCGTCAGTTAACAGCTACTACTGTTTGATTTAGTGTTGAAAAAGTAATCATTCCTGACTCGTTCGATCTGGATCAACAGACTGAACAGCAAGTGTTGAACAGAACAGAAGTGTTTAAATTTGGATTCATGATTTCGGTGTAAATCTTTCCATCCCTCGAGCCTTAGCCTCTTTCACAGATAACTTCGATAACACTCTGCTCCATTGGTGCGGGATCCAGGCAGCGGTGGGCGGCGCTTCCAACGATCTCATCTAGCAGGAAGTGCACGAGATTCTCGTCGGAAACAAAGCGCCACAAGTACATCTGCAGGTAGTGGCAGTCCACCTGGATCTGCTGCAGCCCGTATCGGCCAAAAGTGCGCAGGCGGACACACTCCAGGAATGTTTTTAAGCTGATTTTGATAATTCCCGTCATCACGGACACCTGAGGAAGCAGAAAGACGTGCAAGTGAAAATCTAAGATTTTTCCTTTTTCATTTTGTTAAATGAGGACCATCTGCAGATCTGCACCCACCTTGTTGAACTCCACTGAGCTAAAGATGTCGATCCTTTCAGAGAACAGCTTGTGTATGTTGCTCAGCAGATTGGTATCCATGGGAGCACTGAAGGTAAACAGAAGACAAGTGTTCAAGTAAATGTGTTTAAAAATAAAATAAAAAAGTTAAAGTATGATTAAAAATGCCTATGAAACAACTGACATCGTACTTTCAAGTATAATGTAACACTGTATCTGTGCCTTTTATTTATAATATTTTAATAACCACTCAGTGGTTATTAAAATGTCATTACAATGTCATTACTTTATGCTGACATTTCCAAAATCACTCACTGTACTCTACCAAAATAAATAAATAAATAAATAAATGAATCAAAATCCAAAACAGGGTTTCAAACATAAGGCCCATGGTCCAAAATCGGCCCAACAAAGGTTCCAATCTGGCCCTCTGACTGGCATGGAAAAATGTGAAGGCAAGCATCCATTTTGGAATTTTTATTGTGTTTTCAGAAGTTTTAAAACTTTTCTTACTTATAAAGAGCTTCCCTGTGGCCATTCACAGCAAAGTAAAATAATTAAGAAAGGTAAAGTAAGATAGGCAAAGAATTACAGAAAGATTCCTGTTTTTTCACTGTATATTGTATTTTTTTTTACTGTGAGTCAAAAAAAATTTCAGCCTTATAATTATAGGACGGTATGGTAACAAGCTACCAGATCTTTCTCTGTAATTTTACAAATTTATTTCTCACAGTTTAAGCCCAATGAGTCATGCTGACAGTTTTCTTTCATTAACTGCAGCAGCTTTTCTTCATTATGTAGAAAAACCGAGATGTAGTGTTGAAATTACACTTCTTTTTCTTATATTGGGATATATTAGGGATTAAATGTTTGGTTAAACTTCCGGGGCTCTTACTGTCAAAATAGGCTGCATGTGGCCCACGATATAAACAAGTTTGACATTCCTGATTTAAAATTTGCTTTCGCCCCATTTATAGGTAGCTCTGCACCACTGCTAGCACTATTATTAACTATTTTAAGGTCAATTGCTGAAAATCCCATTCTGTCCACTTGCACTGGTGTGTTTGCAGTGCACACTGGATCACATGCTCTGTGGTTAAGAGGACAAAGTTACAAGCCAGAGAGCCATAACTTGTAAACAGGTTGAACATGTGCTGCATGCTTACATACCAGTCAGTTTCTACAGAAATATTTATCTTCAGATACCTCTAGACATAGACCGTTATGACCTTGCAGACAAACTCGCAGCACAAAACTGTGTAAATGTTGCAAGTAAACTACATGAATTATGCATTTTCACCTTTGACCTAATGCACGGCCTCTGAGCTTGAACACTCCAACCTTTTCCACTGAAAACTCCTGTTTGGGAGTTGGTATTTGTTCTCTATGGAAGTTTGAAATCACAGATGTTCAAGAACATCCAAGTGCTGATTGAAAATCTTGACGGGAAACATTGGACAAATTTATAAAGGCCCTTCTATTGTTTCATTTTCTACACATTAGACTCTACTTGCTCTACTTTTGTGCAGCGGTGTCCAAACCCAGGCCTCAAGGGCCAGTGTCCTGCAGGTTTTAGATGTGTCCTTGATCCATCACAGCTGATTTAAAAGCTGAATTACCTCCTCAGCATGTCTTGAAGTTCTCCAGAGGCCTGCTAATTAACTAATCATTTGATTCAAGTGTGTTGACCCAGGGTGTTATCTAAAACCTGCAGGACACCAGCCCTCGAGGCCTGGAGTTGGCCAAGCCTGGTGTGAACAGAACCCAAAAAAACCCCAAAACCACAACTGCCACCAGCTGAGCAGTGTGTGTAGAGCTATGGTACCTTGGGGTGTAGCTGGCAGCATAGCGGGCTTGCTGCCTGGAGCTGCTGTAGACAGAGAAAGTCCTTTTGCTGGAGTCGCTGCTGTGCGCTTTCCTCACGCCCTCTTCATACAAGAGACCAACCTATCATGCAGAAGGTTAATAAAACACCCCGTTCATGTGGGATCATGGGTGCACGAGGACATTGGGACAGTTGCAAAAACTCTCACCTGCACATCAATGGATGTGGTGTCCTCTACTACTCTCTTCATGACAGCGCGGACATTTCTTGGCTCAATAGTGTTAACCCAGTCTCTGGTTTCAACGCTTTTTCTTAACATTTGGGAAATAATCAGACCCTGAACCTGAAGCAAAACAAAAATAAAGCAACTAAATAAAAAGGTTGTTTTGCTTTTGTGACTTTTAAAGGTTGTTGATAAAAAGCCTACCTTGACATAATGGTTGAGTAGTTTCTGTGCTGCCTCCCTGGCTTCTGCACATAAAGTTGTAACAGGTGTTACGGGACTGTGGTGCTGAGAGAGAGAGCAAAAAGCACATTCTTGTCATTACCTTTGGCAGGGTGACTGGCTGATAAAAGAGATCAAAAACATAATGAGAGCTAGTTCTCCTTGTTTTGTGATACCTGTACAAGGAACTGTTCATCTGTGAGAGTAAGTATGTAGGAGATGGTTGAGGTTTCGTAGTCCAAGCAAAGACGAGACAGCAGCAACAGAAGGGCTGGGGGAGTTGAACCTCCTTTGTCTCCGGCGGTCTCACAAAACTGCCGAGAAGACTGGCATACAAACTTGATAAAGCTCACCACCAGGCTCTCACGTACACCCTGGCTGCAGAATTCACCCTAAAAGGGGGGGAGACACACATAAACCGGTATCACTCGCACAATGTAGAGACAACACGCAGGGTTACAGTAACACATGATGTTACACATTAGTTCAAACTCATGAAAACTATAAAAGGTAGTTTGTTCACCTTGAAGTACGGCTTGTTAGAGAATGTGATGTCCTTAGCTGTAAAGAGATGCACTGATGCCAGCACCGACTTAATCTGATTGAGAATTGAGGCTGACAGGGAGGAGAGCAGCTCTGGTAGGCTGGTTGGAGCGTCTCTGCCAGAGGCTGGCCCAGCCACAGAAGTGCCAGCCACAGAGAGACGAGGAGTTGCCAGAGCCTGCCTCACGTCTGTCAAGCTGTCCATGTAGAAGCTCTGCAGAGCGGAAAGGTACTGCTTGACTCGCTCCGTCGCCGCCCGTATCACAATCTCCGTCCCCTTGTTTGGCACAGCTGAGCCAGGCAGAAGTTTGGCCACAGCCTGGAGTCTGCGGTGGAAGCGGTCCAGCGCACGTACAAGTAGGGAGTTATCCCCAACCCCTTTCTCCTCTTGTATTCTCCGCTCGACAAGCATGAAATATCGAGCAGCCAAATCATCCACAAAGGCATGCAGCTTGCCATTTGCCATCTGAGGAATATTTTTGGATGCCAGCTCGCCCTTTTGAGCATGGTTGATAAACAGTTCTTGATAGGAAGTGATTACCAAGCATAAGCTGCTCACAAACTCATTGCAGCCTCTGTCAATGAATTCCAGGATGTCAGTATTTGATGCAGGGGAAGGCAGAGAGCTGTTTTTGGGGGAGCCGTCGGTCGGCGATCCGGGGGCTGTTGCAGACGACAACCCGTGCGCGGAAGCATCTTTTGTGGCTGTGGACGGGTACGGCCTTATCTCTGCTTCCAGGCCCTGAAGATCTGACTCAAGGCGAGACCGCGCGTGGCTCAGGAATTTATCACAGAGCTCTTCTGCAGGCTCATCCAACTGCAACAGAAGCTCCACACACTCTGATAAATCTTTGGCACTTGACCCACCATCCCTATAATCACAAGAAGAAAAGACAGAAGCAGAAATGTAATGAAGCGTGTGATTTTTTTCCATGAAGTTTGGTCCGTCAACTCAATTTGTGTTTATTTATTTGTAATTTTAATATCTATGCAGTTGTGTCAAACATGCTGTTTATCCTAATTAAAATTATTTTTCTTATATATTGTAATAACTAGTCATTGTCACCTGAACTTCTGTCGAAGCTCCTGGGCCAGCTTGTCCATGATGGCGTGACAGTCATCCTGAATTCCCTTGAAGGAGGGCAGGTGGCTGTACTGCTGCAGTACGCAGCGGGCACGGCGGTGGGTGTTCACCGCCTGAGCGTAGGCCTGCAGCTCCAAACATTTATTCAATCTTGCGGGGAGTTCAAACAGAAACTGCAGCTTCCTCAACAGAGTGTGAACACCTGGAGTGAAACATGGTAAGACCCCCAAAATAAATAAATAAAATATGAATCAACCTATTAAAAAGTTTAATCCAAACAGTCAGATTAGGTCTCACCAGAGAGTTTGGTTATCTGCGCGTGCTGGTCTTGAAGAGTGCCGCTGATCCGAGCACTGAACTCTGTGATCGCAGCCATGTTAGCAGACAGACAATCCATTTCATCTTCCATTTTCTTGAAGTCATTCTTCATCTTTCTTATGGTGTCTGGCAGAAGGAAAGAAAGAAAGAAGGATATTTCAGCTATCCAGGTTTGCACAATTTAATGTCAGCTTACGTTAGGGCAGCAGTGTGTGTGTTTATGATGTTCCTTCACCTGTAGCAGATATAAACTTGTTGTAGTTTTCATACACCAGGGTTTGCATGTCGCTGTCCAAAGAGCGGATCTGCCTGACCATACAGGTCTCCTGGTCCATCAGCTCCGTGAGAGAGCACTCCCTCCTGAGCTGGATTTGGATATTTAAAATAAAAACGTTACTGTACGTATGCTCAGTGGTCATTTGTGTCTTCTAGGTATAGTGTGATATAGCATTAAAACTGATTCATTCCTCACTGTTTGGCAAAGACAGAAGCAGATTTTTAAAAAGTGTTTTAAAATTCACAGCCATCTACATCTTCACCTGTAGTGACATTACACCTGGGACAAATGAAGGAAGTACTCTGGTGTTTTCTTCAGTTCATGTAACATTACTGCAATCTGCACTGTGTATAGTATTGTCGATTTCAGCATTTCATTTTCTATTATCTGGCATCAAGCTTACGCTAAAATTCTGAAGCAGTCCAGCTTTGTGAGCCACTGAGCGGATTACAATGACAGTAGCAGTTTCGCACCTTGTTGAGATAGAGCTCCGGGTCGAAATGAGGCCCATTGATGTCGCAGGGATCCAGGGACTCCGGCTGCTCCGGGGCCTTTCCTTCCTCATTCAGCCCGTAGTAGAGCTTCAACATGCCGTGCACCCTCCGCCTCCTTCCCGGGTCTTCAGCCACCGGCACCGAGCCCTCGTCCATAATGAACGGCGGCCAGCTGTGAAACGTTTAAAGTAAAATAACGATAAACAAAGGCGACGACAAACCAGCTGACAGGAGACAAACGACAGCCACTAGCACTAGCAGCACACAGCTCCTGTGTAATCGCTGTGTGTTTAGCCTCGCTGCCAACTGGAAACAACAAACTCATTCAGGATAAATATTCAGAAAATGTCATATTTTCTCTGAGACAGAAGCAGCTAGGTGGAAGCGCTGTTGTTTCCGGGTTTCTAGCCTATCCGGTGTTACGTCGTCCACCAGTGCACGTAATCTAAACAGCCAATTAGAGCAGTTTCTCTTTGTTTAGCTTTTTATTCACTAAATGCTTCAAAATTTATGTATTTTATGTAAAAATGTATTTTTTGGCAAAGTATAGACAGAGACAAAGCTCATAATTGTTCAGGTAAGTGTTCTAGTTATGCGCACAACTGCGCATGTCCTAATTGGCACGTAACGCCATATAAAAGTGCTTAGATTGGTTGTAGGGAAAATTAATTGATGACACCAAAATGGATTAAATGTGTATGATAAAATTAACATACAGCCCTGATTATACTGCAATCTGTGATCATAGCAAATCCTACAGTGTTGAAATCAAGAAAAACACAAAAATGTTAATCCCTTGAGTGCTCAGAGGAAAAAAACACTTTTATTATAAGATTTAAAAATGTGACAAAAGTCTATATTGTATCATGAACATAAAAATCATAGAGGAATAATAATCTGGGATATAGTTCAGGTATTTGAAAATCATTTGTATAAACAGAAAATCAGAGGTTTTAGGTGCATGTTAAATCATTTCCACAGGAGCACTCACCAAGCTTTCTACAGATATATATCAACTCTTATCATACCTGCCATATATTAAAACATAAACATTTAACAATGAACTTATTTCCTCAAACAATTTGAAATGGATCTAGTTAAGATGGCCACTCAACTAAGAAATTTACATTTACCATTTACAACTGCAAGTGTTAAAGTAAAACAAAATGCCACAGAAATACTGATGAGAAGTTTGCATGAAGTTATGTTATTAAATCATATGCAGAATAACATGTTGGTTAAAATATGGCTTTAGTACACTTAAGCAGCAGCACTGAGGAAGGAATATTTGATGACAGGTATGTTCAGAAAAACGGGGCCACTTTGCATCATCCCATAATTTTAATGAAGGCCGAGCTGACAACCGAGAGGAATTACAGTACACCGTTCAACATCCGCCATCCAGTTACTCAAATATACTCACATCAGATAACATAAAGGAAATACATCATTTTAAACCATAGCAATACCACAACTGTCCATTTTCTGGTTTCAATGCACCAAAACAGTAATTTATATGCCAACTTAGTAGAAACAAAAAAGGCACTTTAATCTTCTGTAAAGTGTTTGAGACTTATTTCTTCATTCACATATACAAACACTGGCAAGTACATGAAAACAAACCGAAAGAAAGTAAAAATGTTCTCTCATAAAAGCTAACAAACAATACAAAACAAATCTCCTGCTGTAAAATGTTTAGAAACAGTGTATTAGTATTAACAAGTGCAGCATCACATGATGTGTAGACTGTCGGAATGCCTATCCTACAACGTGACATGCATAGTGTTTGTTCGCAACAACATACTGTGCTGCTGGCGTTAGTATACAGACAGCAGCTGATACACAAGTCGAAGCATAGAAAAGTAAGAACATTCTGCCGTTTGCGTGCTGAGGAGAGTCGGGAAGAATAGATGTGCCGCCACATCTCCAACGAGGGCACGTGTTCAAGTGGAAGGCGCTATTACAGAGATGTGGAGACAGAAACTGCCTCCGTTAGCATTAGGGTGGGGTTCAGAGTGACACCCGGGGGACTCTGCCAAGTGCTGGAGGCTAAAATCGGTCTCTGCAGCGTTAAGGTAGCATACACTTGGTTGCAGCATGTCAGGCAGGCTTGCTTTGGTGGAAAGACTTAAGATTTTCAACAGTGTGGCCACAACTTGGTCCTTGTTTTGTGTTCAGAACACACAGCCGCTCTCTAGTCACAACTGGGTCAACAGACTGGGTAGCTTTTGGAGATAAAGTGAAGGAGAAATTGTTTTAATGCTATATAAATCTAATAATCTAGTAATGAAATTCTTCGCATTGTCGTAAAGCTGAAAAAAACGAGGCCTTTTTCCCCCAATGATGTCAACAGTGACCGTGTTTGAAGAAAACAACACTGTTAGTTTCTTTAATGTCTACACTTTCAATTTACCTTCTGTCATGTCAGAAGTTGCACAAGAACAGTATTGCATCAGTTTTCTTGCTCATCAGGTCCAACAGTCAGGTTAGACTGTGTGCCGAGAGATCGCTTGTATTAATCGTCCATGCTTTGAAATTTAATATTTGAATACAAGCATGGTGCGGCAGTGCTGGATGATCTTTAGATGAATATATTTTTTCCTGCACAGGTTCTACAGTTTTATAGCTTTAATTCGATTCTTTTATTAGTGCAAATCCATTTAAACACTTGATACTGTGACCACAGAGTTGCAGCTTCTTTAACGAGAAGTTTTAAAACTCACATTTTTTAAAGCAGGTCGGTCGTGCCACCTCTTTCAAACTAGCTGCAGATATCGCTTAATATTGACCTTGTCAAAAACTCCTGTACTTACAAAAGTCCTCCACAACACAGCCAATGTGCTCCCATAAGGATTGTTTATGGTCAGGATAGCCGGACGCGAAACGTTTCTACTTTTTCTGAAGTGGCTTCACCCTTTCTAGAGATCAAGGCACTGGCAGTTTGAAAAAAGCAGAATAGCGGAAATGCACCCTTAGATAGTCCCCTGAAAAATGTTTGTCATGCTGACTGTTGCCGTTTGTGGTATCGCTTAAAAGTCTGAAGTGGAGTTACGAAAGCTTTAAATATTCTTAATGCTCAATCCCCCGATAAGATGAGTAGAGGTAATGCAGTGGTTATACTCATTTGAGGTGCAACATGTTTGAATAATAGCAGTAAATCCGCTTCCAGAGCGCTGCAGAAAGGTCAAAAACAGTTATTGACTGGAGTCACTGTTTGAAGATTGTTATAAGGCTCGTCTCACACTTATTCATCATATGATCTTTACAGTAGGCTGTTTAAGGAACAGCCACTTCAGTTGAACCTTGGAAGCATAGCTGCTAGATCTTTTTTCACATTACTGTACTCGCTTAATGTACACAACTTCAGAAGATAAATATTGTCACTCACACTTGGATCGCTGTCATTTGGTCCTTTACATGTTCACATATTAGCAGATAAGTGTCTCAAGCTCAAAGTAAGTCTCTCCGTTTTTTTTTTGTTTTGTTTTAAATCTCAGTGTAAAATGTTCCGATTTGGTCTCTGAGAGGATCGGGTCAGATCTGATGGGCGACTTTAACCCTGCTCCAGACTCTCTGTTTGCACTGCAGAGTACGACACTGCAGACGCCTGTCGGGCGAAGAAAGACGCAGCTCTCTTGGGCTTCAAGCGTTTGATTTCTTTTCCTAAAAAAACAAAAACAAAAACACAAAAATGAACAAAGGCTGAAAAAAAATCTCTGACACTGTGAAACGGCACAGAAGGAGCTACCTCCAGAAAGGATAACGGTGCTGTTAAACAAGTTTGGCCCTCACCGTCATCGACGTAGCTGATGGTGTTGAGCGATTGGACTCGGCTGCACACAACGCTGCCTTGCCTGTGCAGCATCCCGCGCCTTCCGCCGCGCCCATTCTTGCTCCTTTCTTCCTGTCCGCCGGGCTGCTGTGACAAACTCACCTCGCCGTCCATCTCGGCTGCAGCTGCCCCCTCGGACGCAGACTTAAGCTCCACGCAGAACTCGATGAAGCCGCTCATGAGCTCCGCCTTGTTGGAGGCGGGGAAGAAAAAAAATCATAACTGAGTCTGCTGTAGTCTGCTGTTTAATGGCCTATTACAGAACCCAGACATCCTAAGACTGAGGGGTGGGGGATCTAATATCACATTTGAAGTCACTACTTCACCACAATATAGTGCATTTTCTGTAAATTCAGTGAATAGTTTATATAATCGCCACACGTAAAGTACAAATTCTTTTTTACACTTAAATTAATTAATAAAAAATGAACAGTACTCAGTCATACGTGATTATTTTTGTGCTTTTATGTATAACATCTTGACATATGTTTGACATATGACACTTTTCAATATCAAATGACTAAAGACCCAACATAAAATACTCACAAAATATATGAAATGCAAATGCACATTAAAAACACTATAAGGCTATTAAACACTTTAAACAAAATAAATATCGTCCTTTGTGACACATACTAGATGACCCTCACACAGTCCCCATGACTCGAGAGCCTCCCTGAGGGCTCTGGCTAACATTTCCCCTGCATGGTCCTCAGGAAAACAGCACGTCTGCAAACACTGACTGCAGTGTGTCGGTCTCGGATGAAGTGCACTGTGCATACATTTGATGCTGCAGTCTAGCATGACACACTGTAGATTTCCTCCAATGTTTTGGCCCGACACTCATAATATAAATGAGGCAACTGGACTTGTGTGAAGTGTTTTCGGCTGGACATGTCAAGTGTTTT